AAAGCAGGAGCTCCACACAAAGCTCTTTGCACCCCTTTATTCCCCCTGGAGCCCCAAATCCCACGGCTCCCACATCCCAACATTTCCAAACCCCAACCTTCCCCCCTTTCCCCCGAGCTCTACAGGAAACAACATCATGTCCCATTTTGGGGTCTTTTTTTAACCCAAATTCAGAACGTTTAAGCTCAGACTATTTACACCAAACCCCCCTCTTGCATATCCAGGGAATCCCAAAGCCTTTCCCAGCTGCGGGATGTTCCCTTTGGGAGCCCCTGACCCCCCATTCCCAGGATCCCCCCAAAGGGGTTTTAGTGTTGATTTGGCTCCTTGGAGCCTCCCAGGGCTCGGGAAGGGCTTTTCCCAGGATGAGTTTTCCGGATTCCGGATTCCACCCGGAGAGCGACCGAGGCTCTTGCATAGCCAGGGGCAGGGGGGAAAAAGGGATGAGGGTGGGGGGGCAAGAAAGCAGGAAAACAGGGATAAAAGCGTTGGGGGGACGGTGGAAAACCTAAAACAAGCCATTTTCCAGGCCTAAAGCTTCTTCCTGGAGCCAGCCTGGGGCTTTCCTGGATCGTCTTTCAGGTCCTTCCAAGCCAAACCATTCCATGATTCCCTGGTGGGATTTTCGGTGCTGGTCGATGAATCCCATGGGTTTTTTCCTTATTATTTGCCTTAAACAGCCCCAAAATCTGCTGGATTCCTCCTCTGGGATGGGAAATGCTGGATCAGCTTCTCCTGGTGCTCCAGCACCATCCAGGGAAAGTGTCTGCTCCTGGATGGAGCATCCCAGGGATTGAAGAGGGAAAAGGGGGCAAGGAACCAAGAGCAGGAGGGAAAAACAGAATTTGGGAGGAAAAAGCAGGAGAGTGGGGGCGGCGTGGAGGGATTTGCATAAAAGCTCCAGGATTTTTCCAGCGTGGGCTCCTGCTTCCCAGGAGCTGTGGCTGGGCCAAAGTCTGGGGTTATTTTGGCTAAAAATCCCAAAATTTTGCTGGCAGGAGTCAGATGATCCCAAAAACCCCCAGAGTTTTCCTCCCTGTGCTGTGCCAGAGGCCCCAAAACTGTCCCAGTCCTTCCCAGACCTTGGAATAAAGTGCAGAATGTCCGTGTAGTGAGAAGAGAGGCGCAGGGAGAGCCAGGAGTGGGAATTTCCACCTCCTGCCGTGCAGGATGGGCCATCCCTGCCCTGGGAATGTGGTGGGAGCTTCCCTGATATAAATATATATAAATATATATAAATATATCCACTCGTGTCCAGGCCTTGGGGGCCTTGGAGGAGGAGGGAACGAGCTCTGACGTGGGAATATGGATCCCACACCCCTCATTCCAAGAATTGTGGACCCCACACCCCCCATTCCAAGAAGAACTGTGGATCCCAAACCTCTCATTCCCAGGAGAATTGTGGATCCCTCATTCCCAGGACTGTGGATCCCTTATTCCCAGGGGAAACATGGATGCCCCATTCCCAGGAGGAGCCATGTGGGGGAAACGAGGCTGAGTCCAAACGTCACCGCGGAGCCACAAACCCAAGGCCGGGAATCAAATGCCACCAATCCGCCCCAAAAACCTCTTGTGGAGAGCCCCAGGAGCCACAGGAGGTGGGAGTGGGGCCGGAGGGACATTCCAGGCGGGATCAGGGGGTGTAGGCCGGCGGAGGCTGGAACTGGTTGATCACCTCGTACTCGGCCGGGTAGGGCTCGTTCTCCTCCATCTCCGAGAGCAGCTCCAGCGCCTGCTCCTCCTCCTCGGTGGGATAATGCCGGAGCAGGTTGGCGGCCGTGGCCAGGATCGAGGCCCCCCCTGCCCCTGCCACCAGGTAGAAGCTGACGGCGAAGATGACGTAGACCTGGGAGCCGTGGTACTTCTTGTGCTGCTGCTGCTGCGCCAGGATCAGCTCCGACGCCCAGTAGCAGAACCCGATGACGGTGGCACATTGCAGGACTGGGAGGGACAAGGAAAATGGGGAGAAATAGGAGAAAAATCAGTCACAGAGTGGTTTGGGATGAACAGGGATGTGGGCAAGGGCAGAGCTCGGGGTGAAATGAGACAAACAGCCAAAACCCAGCCAGAAATCTACAAAAAATGTGAGGCTTTCCCTGCAGGAATTCCCGGCTGGAATTCCCTGGCTGTACCTGTGAGGATTCCCTGCAGGAATTCCCATCTGGAATTCCCTGGCTGTACCTGTGAGGATTCCTCTGCAGAATTCCCGGCCATACCTGTCAGGATGTGGGCGAAGGCGTAGCGCCGGGTGATTTTCAGTGCCGGGTGTTTGGGGCCGAACACGTCGAGCAGAAAGGCCGAGAGGCTGCACAGGATTCCCAGGAAGCAGAAGGCAGCAATGACCCGGAGCAGCAGCACCGTCTGCGGGTTCATGCAATAATCTAGGAGAGAGGGACGGAGGTGAGCACCCAAAAAACCCTCTTTTCCACCCAAATTTCCCCCTGCTCCAATCTCACCCGGATCCTTGAGGATTAAAATCAGAACCCTCCAGATTCCACAAGATCCATGACAGGGAAAGGGGCTGTAACACTGCCAGTCCCCCACACCATCACAAATTTTAATAAATTCATCCAAATATTCATTTAAATATCATGTTAATTAGTGCTAATGGACATGTGCCAGTGTGAGACATGCTGGGAATGAGTCTCCAGTTCCATCCGTGCCTGAGGGGGGTGAGTAATGCTGGAAAAATAGGTGGGAAGGGGCCTCTCCAAGGGCCACAGTTAACCAAAAGCAGGAAAACAGACATGGTGTGTAGCTGCCTGTGGAGTTATATCCATAGAGTTATACCCCCTTCCAACCCAAACCATTCCAGGATTTTATATTTGGAGCTGAATTTGTATAGAGGGGCCATGGGTGTTGTTGGAAGGGAACGGGAGGACTTGGAGGGGGATGTAAGAGGGTCAGAGAGAGATGGAAAGGGATGGAGGGGATGGAGAGGGATGGAAGGGGGACAGAGGGGTTGAAAGGAGAGGGGAGGGAAGGGGATGGAGGAGAACGGAAGGTGAGATGGAGGGGGGACAGAGAGGGATGGAAGAAGGATGGAAGCAGGACAGAATGGGGTGAAGAGGATGGCAGGGGACGGAGGACTGAAGGGATGGAAGGGGCCAAAGGGGTCTCACCTCGGAGCAGCTCGGGGTTCACATAGCCCAGCACATCGGCCACCCCCAGCTCCTGGCGGGAGCAGGTGCCGCCGTGGATGCGGAGCCAGGCGGGCTCAGCCAGGGC